TGGGAGGCTGAGGCAGGAGACTCGCTTGAGCCTAGGAGTTGGAGGTTGCTGTGAGCTGTGGTGCCACAGCACTCTGCCCAGGGGGATAGCTTGAGGCTCTGTCTCAAAAAAAAAAAAAAAAGTTTAGTTTAATTTTAGAGTTAGTTAAAAGTTAGTTTAGTTAGTTTAAAAGTTAGTTAAAAGTTTAGTTTAATTTTAAAGTTAGTTAAAAGTTTAGTTTAATTTTAAAGTTAGTTAAAAGTTAGTTAATTAAAGTTAGTTCAGTTAGTTAAAAGTTAGTTTAGTTAAAAGTTAGTTAAAGGTTAGTTAAAAGTTAGTTTAGTTAGTTAAGAGTTAGTTTAGTTAAGAGTTAGTTAATTTTAAAGCTAGTTAAAAGTTAGTTAAAAATTAGTTTAGTTCATTAAAAGTTAGTTAAAGGTTAGTTAGAAGTTAGTTTAGTTAGTTAAAAGTTAGTTAATTTTAAAGTTAGTTAAGATTAGTTTAGTTAACAGTTTAGTTAGTTAAAAGTTAGTTTAGTTTAATTTTAGTTAAAAGTTAGTTTAGTTAGTTTAAAAGTTAGTTTAGTTTAATTTTAAAGTTAGTTAAAAGTTTAGTTAGTTAAAAGTTAGTTTAATTTTATAGTTAAAAGTTAGTTTAGTTTAAAAGTTAGTTTTAGTTAGTTTAAAAGTTAGTTTAGTTTAATTTTAAAGTTAGTTAAAAGTTAGTTTATTTAGTTTAAAAGTTAAAGTTAGTTAAAAGTTAATTTAGTTTAATTTTAAAGTTTAATTTAAAATTAAATATTTAAATATTACTAGTATTTTTTCTACCAGACCACTAACAAAGGCTTGTGTTTGTCTTTCATTTCAAAAGATTGTGGTTAAAAATGCTTGATGAGTAAAAAGAGGATTAATCTCCACATTTGGGGCTCATGAGGGATGTCTTTTCTCTCGGGACAGTGGCTTGTGTACTGGTGCAGCCCTTAGGAATTATATCGGGTCACTCATTTTCATCTTCCTGAGAAAGTAGCTGTCACTTAAAGTGCTGACGTGACAAGGGGAGCTTCAAGTGGCATTATTTATCTGATGTTTTGGCTGCAGTACCCTGGGTGAGATGGGTAGGAGAGCCCAGGATTCAGAGAAGGTCTACCCTAGAACGGTCTCTCGGCTTGTTTCTCCCCTCCCCCCCAACCTTTCTGGACAGAATGAGAATAAAGCTTTTATTTTATTTTATTATCACTGCGGGCAGAGGACTAAAGGCATCTATAAAGCCCTTGACAATAAGAAGAAAGGTTAAAAATGAGAAGATTAACTTTAGACCTAATTATGAAAAAAGTAATCTGCTTTATGATGTTCATTTTTAGGAAATGTTAATGTTATCTAACATGTTTTTTCCCCCTCTTTGTAGGTACTGGTTTGGGATTAGGAATCGTCTTCTCACTTACCTTCTTTAAAAGTAAGTGTGACTTTATTGCTTTTTCAACACAATGTCATAGTGTATAACATAGACATAGCAAGGACACTTCCAGAAGACATGTGTAGGTGGCTGCCAGCCTATCCGTTTGCGGGTTTAGGTAGACCAGAGAATGTGGATTTTGAAAGAAGAGTTCAAAATGGGTTGGGCACCTCTAGCATTCCCCCTGGGCATTGAGTCAGGGTGTCTGTTATCTTAACTATGATATCATTTCAAAAGCCTGTACTTGGTGCCAGTGAGCAATTTGGCTAAATCTACATGCTGAAATATTTCTAAGTAATTACAGTCTTTTTTCTAGAAGAACTTGAAAATGAGAGTCCCGCTGGTAATAAAAACAAGTAGAACAGAAATACACATGCATGCTTCTTGGCCAAAAATTCTCCTAAGCAAAGGGCAGGCAATATTCCTTTCATTCTGTGGAAGAACATCTGAAGTTTGGATATTGAATAGAAGTCAGAGGGTCACTTTGACCTCTTTCCATGAAGAACTGACACGAAATATCACTAAGACAATTACAATTAATATAGTGCTGGCTTAGCACCTGTAGCCAAGCACTTAGGGCACTGGCCACATGCACCAGGGCTGGTGGGTTCAAACCCAGTCTGAGCCTGCTAAACAAACATACAAACAAAAAAATAGCTGGGCGTTGTGGCAAGTTCCTGTAGTCCCAGCTACAAGGGAGGCTGAGGCAAGAGAATCGCTTAAGCCCAAAAGTTTGAGGTTGCTGTGAGCTGTGATGCCACTGCACTCTACCAAGGGTGACATAGTGAGACTCTTATCTCCAAAAAAAGAAAAAGAAAAAAAAAATAGTGCTGATATGAAGTAAGTCTTTACAGATTGGTTTACTATGACTAAAGGATGTATAAATATTAGTGAAATTCTTATGTATTTTTAGAATTCAAGCACCTTGCTGAAAGGTATTATTTTGGATATGGTTAAGAAATTACTTATGCTGAACAGATGATTAGAGCTCATATAGAAGTTAAAGGGTTCAACTGTATCTACTGTTGATATATTTATTGTACCTCTTATTTTCCTTGAACCCAGCAGCATAGGTACTTAATATTTTCTAAATTGATAAGTTTACTAATTAATACCCCTACTCCCTTTGGCCATTGATGAAACTTTGACAAACATGTATGATTTATTATAGTTATCAGTATGATGCATGATGAATGTTTATTGAACCTAACTAGATGTATTTAAAGGGATTGGGGAGCTTCATCATCTCTTAATGGTTCTCTAGTGGGATTTTTCTTTTTTTGATCACTAGGAAAAACGTGGCCGTTAGCCTTTGGTTCTGGCTTGGGATTGGGAATGGCCTACTCCAATTGTCAGCATGATTTCCAGGCTCCGTATCTTCTACATGGAAAATATGTCAAAGTATGTACAAAATTTATATTTCTCTCTCTTTTTTTTTTTTTTTGAGACAGAATCTCACTGTGTTGCCCTGGGTAGAGTGCGGTGGTGTCACAGTTCACAGCAACCTCAAACTGTTGGGCTTTAGTGATTCTCTTGCCTCAGCTCCCAAGTAGCTAGGACTACAGGTGCCTGCCACAACACCTGGCTAGTTTTTCTTTGAGACAGAGTTTCACTATGTCACCCTTGTAGAGTGCAATGGCATCACAGCTCACAGCAATCTCAAACTCTCAGGCTTAAGCGATTCTCTTAGCTCAGCCTCCCAAGTAGCTGGGACTACAGGCACTCACCATAACCCCCGGCTATTGTTGTTTAGCAGGCCCAGCCCAGGCCTAGGCTCAGGCCTGGCCCAGATTTGGACCCACCAGCCCCAGTGTAAGTGGCCAAAGCCCTACCCACTGAGCCATGGGCATCGAGCCTATATTTCTCTTTTTTTTTAGAAGAAAAAGAGGTTTCTTCTGAGCCTTGGAAGAAGGAGTGTATATAATGAATAAACTGTGTGTCCTTGTGGCAACAACGAGATCCTAATCCCTCTTCTGCCTTTAGCAATGTCAACACTACTTTGGTGCTAAAAGTCTCCCCTGTGCTTTCACGTGCACATGTGCATTTAGATATATACATCTATGTTAGTTGGTTGGAATTAATGAACTTGCCTGAAGTTTATCATCAGTGGTAAAGTAGATTTGTGTTAACTGTCTATAAGTAGCACTTTGTATTTAGGATCTCAAGAGTTCTGGCTCAGCGTCTGTAGCTCAGTAGTTAGGGCACCAGCCACATATACTGGAACTGGCAGGTTTGAACTCAGCCCGGGCCTGCCAAACAACAATGACAATTATAACAAAAAAAATATAGCTGGGCATTGTGGCAGGTGCCTGTAGTCCCAGCTACTTGGGAGGCTGAGACAAGACAATTGCCTAAGCCCAAGAATTTGAGGTTGCTGTGAGCTGTGATGCCATAGCACTCTACTGAGGGGAACATAGTGAGACTTTTTTTTTGAGTCAAAGATCTCAAAGTCCTGTAAATATTTCACACATATTTAAGATAAATCCAGAGACTAGAAGGTCTCAGCTGTATTACTCTGCTTTTTAGTTAAAGAAGGCAGTTTTGACTGAAAGTCCTGCATGATTCTGCTGAAGCCCTAGTCTTCAGATAGATTTTTTTATATATATAATCTCAAGCTGTCAACCTGGGTAGAGTGTTGTAGCGTCATAGGTCACAGCATCCTCTAACTCAGGCTCAAGCAATCCTCTTGCCTTAGTTTTTCTGTTTTTAGTAGAGACAGCCTCTTGCTTTTGCTCAGGCTGATCTTGAACACATGAGCTCAAGCTATCCACCTACTTTGGCCTTCCAGAGTGTTAGGATTACAGGCATGAGCCACTGCGCCTAGCCCAGATAGATTTTTAATGCTGTAAAAAAGCTGGAAAATTGTTATCCATGCCTCAGAAGGGAAGAAGGCGCATGCTTTCTGAAGGTTTCATATGTACCCACCATTTCCTTGGCTTTCCTTTTCTCTTTCCTCTTCTCCTTCCCCCTTCCTCTCTCCTTCCTTCTCCCTTCCTCCCTTCTTTCCTTTGCCCAGGTTGAAGTACAGTGGCATCATTATAGCTCACTGCAGCCTTGAACTCCTGGTCTCAAGGGATCCTGCTTTATCCTCCCTAATAGCTGGGACTGGAGGCACATGCCAGCAGGCCTGGCTAAAATTATTTTTTGTAAAGATGGGGGTCTTGCTATGTTGCCCAGGCTGCAAGTTATCCTTCTACCTCAGCTTCTCAAAGAAGTGGGATTACCGTCCTGAGCCACTGTGCTGGCTCCTTTGCCTTACTTTAGAATTTAAATGATTGGCTCGGTGCCTGTGGCTCAAGTGGCTAAGGCACCAGCCACATACACCTAAGGTGGCAGGTTCGAATCCAGCCTGGGCCCACCAAACAATGATGGCTGCAACCAAAAAAAAAAAAAAA